TTTTCTCTACTCTCACACATTGCCACCCACCTCGTGGGATGCTCTAAGGCGGCCAGCTGGCTAGCTACTGGGCCCCCTGTGGCAGGCCGAACACAGAGTGCTTGGTTGCACTCGCTACCTTAACAACCCCTTTTGTTCCGCTACTGACAATTTCAAGTGATATGATATGTTTTTAAGTAATGGTCAGAGTAGGATTATGGTCATAACATGGTTCTATTGGTTCCATCCCAGATGCAAAGAATGAAATGGGGGGGGGGGAGGGGGGTAGAGGGTTGTCTGTTAATCCTTCTCTAGTAATGGTTATACCACAAAGGAGATATAGCAACTCAGGAAAACAATTGTCGACAAAAGTAACACAGCTTTATTTTACATTTTGTCATAGTCTATTCCACATACATATTACATGATAGCTCACAGGTTGTCAAGCGTAATTTGTCAAATATGGTTTTCAAAATGTCTAGGTTTGAATGTCACATGTGAGCTATTCTGTAAATTTACATAAAAGTATATATAGACAACAATAACTGCAACAATAAGGGAAATGGGCATGCTTGCGAGAAGTTTGTGGTTCACTGAGCAGTATTTAGCAATGAAGTATGACAACTTGTATGCAATGTTCTCCCTCCACCCAAGTGAATATGAATTATTAGCTTCTAGTCAGTTCTTGGGAGGTATTGCAGGAACCCTATGATAATCTTGGTTGAATATTTCTCATCGGTGGTACTGGAAAGATAGTAAAAATAATACTATACTTACTATAATACATACTAGAGAGATGAACAAATGTATCTTCTTTTTAATGCAAACAAGGAATCCCAAAGAAGAAAAAAGATTTTAATGATTACCTAATACAACATCTGGGAGCAGAGTGATGTCCTTACCTTTCAATGATGTGGTCAGGGTGCAGTGTCTCTGTCCTCTTAACTCAGGAATATAAAAGCAGTTTCTCAAAATCTGCAAAGCTTACATTGCAGGGTTAATGGAACACTCTGGGCACCATTACAACTTTATTGAAATAATGTTGTTATGGTGCAGTGCGGTCCCTGGGTCATTCTTAACTGAAGTGGTTAAACTATTCTAAAATGGTTTAACCTTAAAGGTTGCCTCTAACACCTAATCTCCCTTTCTCCAGCGGCAATTGAGTTTCAGGAAGCACAGAGTGCTGCTGGACATTGGAGCCGCTCATTGTCCAGAGCAGTCAGATGACGCACTAAGCCAATCAGTAGCTCTTCATTCATAAAAAATGCTTCCTCGATGATGCTGCAGGAGGAGGAGAGAGGAGTAATAAAAAAGGTAAGTAAATCTTTATGTTTTTCAAATTCTTATGCAAACAGGGTGGGAGGGGGACCTATTTGGAGTTAGGGAGAGTGACACTCTTGAGTTAAAAATACAAAATTGTGATAATGCTATAGTCTCTCTTTAATTAAAAGTAATTTGCTCCCTTTGCCTCATGCATATTTCTCCCAACAATAACCCAGTCTACACGTTTTTGCAGATAAGAGACTTTTTATTGAAATTCCTTAAATCCTACCATATAATATCATATGCTCATATAACTATTTTATTACAGCGCTGTATAGTAGTACTAACAAGACAACTTGGGCATATGGGAACAGAAGGTGCAGCAAAGTGGGATAAAATTACACAAGAGGTAAGGATAATTTGCATGGGCTGGATGTTTTATGTTGTATTTATAAGTGAGGATAGGTAGATAGGCCAAGAGTTATTTTTATTTTTTTTTTACAATATTTATTTGTGGTAGATTAATAAAGAGATATCACAGAAAGCAGGTGCATCAATAGCATAAAAATCAATTATATATTAGAAATGGCAAATATTGTTGAACAACAATTTTATAACAGGACAGGAGGCTTCGTATTTTGCATAATCTTTCTTTACTAAAACTCCAGCAGCACAGGTTTAACAATAAAGTTTAGTGGAAAAAAGAAACCATTGCCATAGGCCCTTCCTCTTGCATCATTTCCTCCTTCTTTGCTGCTCCAGTCAGACAGGTCAGAGTATTTTATTCTCTGCTATTGAATTTACATTTACACTGTCAGAGCTTCCTTTCTCTGCTCATTCTTACTATTGAATTTACATTTACACTGTCAGAATATTTTATTCTCTTCCAATTCTTACTATGGTTTTACATTCACATTGGTTTTGATGGATTGTCTCTATAGTTGATTATCACTATTTATTTTATTCAATTTTTCCCTTTCTCAACTATATCCCCACCTGTACTACCTTTGCTTCCCTCTCACTATCTCCCTGTCATTTATTTTGCGCTTATCAAACCAGGGAGTGGGGCATCGGTTAGGGTCAGTGGGAGGGGGAGTGTGGGAATCCGCGTTACCGGCATTAAGATTTGCGCGCGAACGGCAGCCATTTTGGGTATCGTGGACCGCGAGATCCAGGGCGACCAGCCACCTTCCCAGACCATGATTCACACGGTCTGGAACGCTCTCATTTCTCCTACAGGGTTTTTTAATGCCTCTCAGGAGCTGTGATATTCAGATTGCATTTCATGTATTAGGTTAGCTCAATGGGCTAATACACTAGCAGTACACTGTCCATATCTTATGGTTCACAGGTTCAATCCCCACTGAAGAAGACAAAATAGGAATCATCTATTTGAGTAACCAGAGAATGTGATCTATTAATTTCTGTGTATTTTTCGTATCCACGCCAGTAGACCGCGACCGCGAGCCGCGCTGTCGTTTTGGCATGAACGGCGGCCATCTTAGATCTCGCACCCACGAGACCCACGATGGCCATTTGCGTCCCTAGCTGTTATGACTCACACGATCCCTTCAACACACGTTGGATATGTATAATTAGGTATTTCCATTAAACAATCATTTACTGTGGAACATTGCTGATAACAAACTGCACTGTACATTAACCATTACACTGCTGCAGAGTGTCTATTCAGAGGTGACCACTCACGCTCCTGCCAATAGCATAACAGGGGTGACCCCCTACACTGGGTGACCCCCAAGCTGAGCCATACAGCACTCAGTGCAGGATTCATTCAGGGGTGACCCCCCTTTCAGATGGGGTGACCCCCCCCACAGGCTCAAAGAGACACAGTGCACGCAGGTTCAACATCCTGCCATACACTAACAATATGACTCTATGCAGTGAATATCGGACACCCACACCATGACTGAGGTGATCCACACACCTCCTTACCAAGGAGGGAGGAAATTGCAAGTGTACAGGCTCCACAATTCATATATTGTTGGGTGAACCCCAAACCAAACAGGCCCTCCACCCTTGACGGGTGCGGCCCACTTATACGACCGCTCATCCCGGTCGCACAGAGGGTGACCCCTCCTCAGGCTACTCGACCCCTAGCGACCTGAAGGTCTCGGGTCAGATAACACTGGGTGACCCCCAGTCATAAGTGGAAGCCTACTGTACTACTACTCACGTACTTCGGTACCTGACATTCTTCTGTCTTTCACAGACAGAATACTCCACTACTTCATGATGAGTGACTCACCACAATCACCACCATCTGAATTCCAGTTAATGATAAATTCAGCAGTGGCCACCTCAGTGGAGAAGGCTATTGCCAAATTACTGGTGCAGATCCCGAAAACGGACACTGACACCGCAACGGCCACTGAAACGGAAGACCCTGACTTCCTTAGAGAAGTCCCCGCAATAAAACTATCCAAACTTTATTTTCTGTGCACTTTATTATTGGGGTGATCCCCCTTACTACTGGGGTGAACCCCCACTCAAGATGTGCATTCACCAATGGGTTACTGTGCACTTTATTATTGGGGTGACCCCCCTTACTAATGGGGTGACACCCCCACTCACAGAGGCACATCCGCAATCCCCAAAAGGCTGGGTCAGGGTCTTGCAGAGACTGTGAACCATGGTACCCCATCTGCCTATGAATTCATGAGCTACTAGGCCCTGGGCCAAGCACCAATACACAAAGGACAAGTGCAAGTATTCAATCACGGACCCTCCAAATAATTACATCAAGCCTGGGAACAGAACCCCGATGTGCCGGAAAGTTATCCAAACGACCTAACTCCCCCTATAAGGAAATCTCCTGAGACTCCACGGATTTGACCGCCGCATGGTCAGACAACACTCAGAGATTGACGAAATGGGGGTTGCCAGGCCTTCATCCACGATCCATACAATTGTAGCCACAAAACGTAGGACAAGGAGACTGCGTGTTCGACTCCGGGTCGCACGCCCTCACTCACTTCACCCCAATGACAGAACATTACTGAGAAACAGCTATACTCTTACATTTCTTGGTTTCAACGCTTTCATGGTGTAACCATGGGCAGCGGTCTACCTTGTTATCAAATAAGGAAGCTACCTCTACTCGAGTAGGGAGGCTAGAATACTCCGGATGGCTGGAGGATAGGACATAGGATTCCTCTATACTCCTGGGCTGAACGACCCAGTAGGGTAACTTAGCTCCATGAACTAATGCTTAATCTGGATACCTGGTCGACCCTTGGGGGTCGAAGTCCACATCTTCCAGTACCACCCATCTACGGGTACTGAAGGACCACAAATCTCACATATGAGGAAACTTACACCTATTTCCAAGAAGCGCTGGGCATTCGCTCCAGACGTCACTGGTTAACTCAGGGATAATTTTATGCTCACAGTAGTCGGGAGACCAGCATCCTGGCACCATCCTACAGCTTCCCCACAGCTAGGTGGGTTCAATCATTCGGATTGGACGGACACATACCCGTCCAGGATAGTCACACCAGGGACCCATCTGTCCATTTTGTTTTCATCGACGGGACCAAACGAATCAATTCACGTGTCTATCATTAAAGTACGACCCATGGTACCCAAGAGACATTTATAACTGGTCATGGCGCCCTTTCACCACAAGGGAATCCGCTACCTCACCCATCTAGACTACAAGTCGTTACTTACTACACACGTAACCGACAATCAGTCTCTAGGTCTGGAAGGCTCGTTGCACATACCCCTACCGGAGAACCATGATCTGGAGAAGAGACGGCCGGCGTCAGGATTACCGACAACCTACAGCTAGCCTGGGACAGATCCGATGGTTGTATTCTCCTACATTTGGACAATATTTCGGCAACCGGCTACATAAAACACCTGGACGGAGTCTGGTATCGGACTCTAATAATATCGGAGGACATTTACCATTTCTAAATTACACGCAAGCTTACCCTACGACTAGGGTTCCCTCAGGATATTACCTATATCACGAACTGGGTTTCATGACAACAACTGACAACGGGACTCCTTGGTCACCATCGCATCACGGAGATCTGGGTGACACGCACCTCGCCACTACGGCAGAATCAAATGGGCTCCCGATCCTATTGACTCCATTCTGGGCTATCCACTGCCCTTCCAATGTCTCCCATCTTACGGACAACCCACAAGATACCATCGGAGACTTTGGTGGCTCACGTTCCATGACAGGACTTTTCATATGCCGCGAGGCATCATACGCTCCAGAACCAGTATCGGAATACACTCAGTTATGGGTCTTAGTTGTGGTTCTCTCTATTCCTATGGGTTTGACCTATGGATTTGGATACTCACTCCAACTAACCCTCGAGGAATTTCACAATCGAGACAGCCTCTCTCTCTCTCTTTGTATACTATACCTTTCACACCAGTTATGGCCACCACCTTACCAGGTGGGCACGTTGACCACTGCTCATATGGTTGTGGAGATCGATTGGTTATCGGTCATTCGGGTCATGGATGCATCTCAGACATCCACTACACATCTTCCTTCGCCGATGTTCATTGGCTGGGTCACGAGAAGAGACTTTCAGGGTGTTCTACTTCCTCGGACTCTTCACACATCCTGTGTTGTTCCATAGCGTTAAAAATGCAAAATACGAAGCCTCCTGTCCTGTTATAACATTGTAGATTATGCTAGCGCAGTGTACCTATAATCTTAATTTTATTAAGGACAGGAGGCGAGTATTTTCCCACCCTGCTTTTTCCCTCCCTATTTATCATTCCTTGGGTTGTACTTCAATAAAAGATTTGAATTCAGGGGGTGTGGTTATCTCTTTATTACGTGGTTTATTTCCTATCACATCTTGAAATTACGACTGCTATCTGTTATGATTTCCTAATAAATACTATTTGACTATATTAATGTCTCTATCATAGCTACCTATTTCAGTTAAAAAATTCTTGTCTCATCTGATAAATTCCTTTTACGTAAAATACTACTGGCGTTTTATAAACAGTAATATTGATTATGCTAATAATAATGAGGACAAACGGTTCATTTCCAAATCCCTTTCACGTCTTTTTTTTCTTTTCAGTTTGATTCTTCTTCATGGATCAATACATGGGATCGTCTTCGCACTCTACGACAATCTTCCAATCGGGATTCGGATCATTTACAGTCTGATTCTTCGTCGTTATCATTAATTATTGTAATAGATATCTTTATAATTATCTCGCACCAAAGAAAGAGGAAATTATGCAAGAGGAAGGGCCTTATAAAGCGTTGCAGAATTTGACGGCGCTCTATAAATATAATAATAATAATAATAATACTACCCTATAGCAACGTTTGTTTGTTTTTCCACTAAACTTTATTGTTAAACCTGTGTTGCTGGAGTTTTAGTAAAGAAAGATTATGCAAAATACTCGCCTCCTGTCCTTAATAAAATTAAGATTATAGGTACACTGCACTAGCTTAATCTACAATTTTAGTTGGCAAATAAGCTGGAGTGGAGACTTTATGTCAGTAACCAGCTCGGTTATATGGTATTCAACACAGTAAAAGCAGTCCTGACTCAACCATCGCAAATGATAAAGTGGCTCATAATAATCAGAACTGATAAATTTGACATTAATCATTATATATGGAAAATATGTACAGGCTCCTCGAGCAGCCGAAAATAATAAGTAGGTACGAATTTGAAGAAAAAAGGGTGGGTAAAACAAAAAGGGAGAGGGGTAGACACCAAAAAGAAAGTGGGAAAGGGGGGAAAAAAGGGGTCAGGGAGAAGATATTGATAGTGGAGTTGGGTAGGGTACTTGGGGGGGGGGGTCAACAGCAATAGGGATATATATATAATGATTTTGTGTATATGACCCATCAAACTACTTCTGGCATTTGCTGTGGTTCCTTAAGTGATTTGCAAGGAAGAGAATTCTAAGTGTAATTTTATGGATAGCCAATGTAAAGACAAGCAGAGATGGGAGGTGTTAGAGGTGGAAGATGAGCATGGCTGCGGCATTCATTACAAATTATAACTGGGTGAGCTGGGAGAGTGACCTATAAGATGTTGCAGTAGTCCAGAGTTGAGAGTTTATACTCTCACAAATTTAAGGTCAAAATAGCTGAACTGGAACTGGAAACATTGACTAATCAGCCAAGCTTTCAGTTTGGCTATTCAGGAACATTCTTCTACTCTGTTAATAACCTTATTGACCCTGTAGGAGCCTTCTGCATGTGATTAAGGTTCAATTTACAGTGCAGGAGATAATAACTTCTAAAGCAAGTTAGCATCTTATCAAAAACAAAATAGTTTGGTGTAAGTCACAGCCAGGGCAGGTTTGACTAGGGCTGCATAAACAACAATTATATAACTCCTAAGTGGCATCTAATTGAGCAGTAAGACTGCAGAGGCTTGATCTATAGATCCTAACTGCTTTATTAACCTAAAGTTGTTTTGATGCCTATAGTATCCCTATTAGGGTTGGGTTAGGGACAAGGGGCAGGATTCGAGTAAAAGGTTAGTGACTTTCAAACTTCCTAAACATTTCCTGAGAAGAGAGATCTAATGTTTAAACTTCCTTTATTGCACATTATATTTTATAATTTAGACTATTTTTATCTCCTGCTCTGTTAATAACCTTCCAGACCCTGTAGGAACCTCCTGTGTAGGATTAAAGTTCAATTTACAGAGCTGGGGATGAAACTCCTAAGTGACAGATAATTTAGCAGTGAGACTGCAGGGGCAGTGAGACAGCAGGGGCAGTCTATACACTAAAACTTCTTGCTTAAGCTAAAGTTGTTTTGATGTCCTTATTGCTCTAATTCATATGAACTATTCCTGTCACCTTTGTCACATTCCTCTCCAGCCGTATAAATCCTCAGTATACTTCCTTATGAATCAAATCTCTCCTCATACATCCACTCAAATACATTCTTCTCCAGCCTCAACCTCTAGTACAGAGATAGGTAACCTTCCGGCACTCCAGATGTTGTGGGCTACATCCCCTATAATGCTCATACACCCATAATGCTGGTAATGCATCATGGGAGTTGTAGTCTAAAACATCTGGAGTGCTAAAGATTGCCTATGCCTGCCCTAGTACATCTCCCTTTAGTCACAGCTATAACTAATACACCTCCCTCAGCCATAGTCACATCAGTATGTCTCCCACCAGTCACTTCCCCACAGTACAACAATACAAATTGAAGAAAATGCATTGCAACGAGATGTGAAAATAGAGAAATTATTTATTAAAGCTCCATATGATTCAAGGTTAAAAAACATATGATATTTTGGTTGTAAATACCTTAATCATATGCCTTTTATAATGAGCCAGCTTCAATAAAGAATTTCTCTATTTTCATATGTCTGTTTGATGCCTGTTCCTCATTTTGTATTGCTGTACTGAGGTAGGGAAGCGGACCTAAAGAGGAAGGGAATGCCAGGAGCTATATTTGAGAATAGCACATATGTTTACTATTTACTATCCCCACAGTACATTTCCCCACTCACACATACAGACATATGAAGACATATTGAAGCAATAGTCCATATCTGTCTATTGAAACAGCTTTTGAGTTAAGTGTCCAATTACTTTTGTTCCTTTGAAAAAAAAAGGGGGGCTACATATTAAAGAGCTGTAATTCCTAAACCCATCCTACAAATGTGAATATCCTCAAATTTAAGCTGAGAGTCTGCACTTTAAGCACATATTAATTATTTAACTGTAATTTGAATTTATTTTGGTAAACAGCTGAACTAACAAAACTTGTGGCAATGTCCAAATATTTCTGGACCTAACTATATATAAACATACTTTGAACCATTTTATCTTCTCTTATCTCTCTTTTAGGATTGACTAAAGCAAATTCTCTTTTATCAATTAAAACCTTTACCCATACACTTGGTTTATCTTTAAAGCAGCACTGTCATGGATGAATCCAGTTTTTTTTAACTCCCCCCTCCCGACTCCACTACATCTAATCCCCCTAGTCACCTCCAAATGCCCCAAAGCCTCCCATCTTACCTATTTTTACATCTTTATTTGGTGCCCGAACCTAAGCCTGGGCGTCGCCATCTTTGAGTGGGTAGTTGAAGGCCCTGTGGAACACGTCATCTGCCCACACTAGATAGCGCTGTGAAATTCCTGTGCATACCCAGTTAAACACTTGGGCATGTGAATGGGAATTTCATCTATTCCTTCATTCGTCAGAAAGACGAATAAATTAATAGAAATTGCAAACGAATGTATGAAGACCTCTTTGTTCATTTGTTTGGTTTATTACTAGGTGGGAGCTACCGGCACGCAGCTCCCTCTTTGTAATATGTAAAAAGAAGAAGCGGCAGAGAACTGTGCTCCCCGCCACTTCCTAAGCCCTGCATGTCCTCCCTCACTCAGAAGCGGATGGGGGCCCTAAATGAAAATGGGGAAGGGGGAACCTATTGTTCTCCCCTCCTGCCCCCACCCATGAGCTGCAGGTGGGGGCCATAGATGACTATAGCGGGACATATTGTCCTTCCCCGACCCAACCATGAATGAATAAAGACCTACCTCCCACCCTCACCCTAAAAATAGTGAGGGGGGGGACAGGAAACAAAATACCTGTAAATAAAAAATAACTTTCTATTTGATGTCTTCTTTTTTCTAAAATCTTCCTTTTTCAGCCCCAAAAAGGTCAAATAAAAATCCATAATACCCGTCGCAACAGTTAAAATAAAATAAAAACCTGAAGCCAAAAAAAACCTATTCATCTTCACCCAGTGAGGGGTGGAGCTCTGAGCTCTGCAGGGTGGGGAAAGGCTTATAAAGCCTTCCCACACCCTGCAATTTGACTTAGAGCACTCCTATTGGTTGATTCCAAGCCAACCAATCAGAGTACTTTGACAGGTAAATGAAGAGACTGTCACAGCACTCTGACTGGTTGGATTGAAATCCAACCAATCAGAGTGCTCTGTGTCATTTTACACAGCATGTGAAAGTTCTTTGGAATGTTCCCATGCTGTGTAATTTGACTCATAACACCATGATTGGTTGCTTTTCAAATTGTCCCCCCTTCAGTTTATTACCTCCATAAGACAAATGGTCCCTACTTTGTCTTATGTTTTAAAGAAAACTAGAGCAGACAGGAAGAAATGAAGAACAGATCTTGACAGAGGGAGGGAAGAGGAATCAATTGGGGAAAGGTAAGTTCGGCATGACAGTGCCGCTTTAAGTCTCATGTCAAGGGCATTCCACTAATCGTAAGCATAAGGGTGTTACTGCTCACAGACCCAGCACGATGCTAACTTTGTGTCACGGTGCCCGCTGGATCAGAGAGCAGAGAGCGGTACGGATCCCGTCAGGCGCGCATCGTTGCAGTGGCATTCCCACACGTTAAGGCGAATGCCGCCGGATTCTTACCTTTCCTGCAGACACTCGCCGGATTCCGCTCATGCCCAGGAGTGGACAGGGACATGGCGGGCACATCTCGGTCTGGCGGCATTCCCAAGTGGTAATGGGAATGCCACTAATCACTCACCTGAACCTGGTGGTAGCTCCTCCCCCTCACACAGCGGCCAGGTCTGCAATCATTAGAGACGCCGGCCGCTGCATCTCTGATGATATTAACGGTTTTACTATTTAACCCTTAAAGTGCCATATCATTTTAATCGTGTAGGTGTATCACACACATGCTCACGATAACATGCTTCCCTGCAGCCAATCAGGGAGCACCTTAGACTATATAAACCTGTTTTGTCCATTTCTCTGTGCCCTGTCATGGTTTCCATTGTGCTTATCTGAGAGCGCGTTCCTGGTATTGATTCTAGTGTATTTGATCTTGGCTTCCCTTCTTACTATCCGTTCTCTGTATTCCTTGGCTTGGCTCCTGACTATTTTGAATTCTATATTCCTTGACCCTTGGCTTGTTCATTGTTTCCGTGATTTCTGCGTTCTTGTCATTATCCTGTCTTGTGGTCTTTTCTTTTTTTTTTACATTAAATCCGGCCATTCTAAGGCCCGGTAATACGTCTTGGAATTTTCCTAAATATTTACTTAAGTTCTGCCTGTTGGGCATCAGCTGCTCCTGACACTTTGATCACCTAAAATGCACTGATACTATTAAAACCATGTTCAACATGTAACAAGGATGTGGTCCTCGATTATCTTCTTATATAATATCTAGTAGCCCATTTAAAAAATCCAATACATTAAGAGTGCAG